AGTTAGTATGGGGAAGAAAAAAAACAACAACTAGCAATTTCGGTTTCGTGGGAGTCGACCCGGCATGACCAGGTGGTTTGGGCGATAAGTCCTGTCATGGCCAGGTGGTTATGGCGCTCAACTCGTAATCTAAGGGTTTCGGGTTCGAATCCCCGTCCCACTAAACATGCTCGCCCTTTCAGCCGTGGGTACGTTATAATGTGACGGTCAATCCCACTATTCGTTGGTAAAGGAGTAGCCCAAGGGATGGCGGTGGGTGGTGATGACTAGTAACACGAATTGGATTTGAAAATCGTAATAGATTATATCTCGCATGGGGTCTGCCGTGGGAGACAGATCTTTCTAATGGGGGTATCTCGCGCTGAAATTCGAGCCTTGATCCCCGGGTAGGATAGAGCGTAGATATCCCATTAACAGATTTTGTTAATACGTAATTTATATTATGTTGAAATATTAATAAAGTCATTCCTCATCAATTATCAAATCTGCACGGCCCATTATAGATTCAAGTAGTAATCATTCTGGTTACCCTAAACCCAACTTATAGATAGAATAACTACTTATCTTAGTCACATATATTTCTACCTTTCGAAACGCTAACCTGTTATTTGCTGAAACAAAAACCGCGTTAAATGAAAGACATTTGGATAAAGACTAACTTTCATCTCTATTTTTTGTTTTCTCTCGTCATAATGACATTAACCTTCTTGCAAAAAAAAAAAAAAACGTTCCGTAAAGTATAATTTTGTAGATCCATTAAAACTCCTGAAGAAAAATCTATTTTCGAGTAAACAAAAGAGAACGAACTCGTATATTTTCATTCTTTCCTTTTATGTCTTCAGCCATTTATTGGAGAGGTTTTCTCTGGATTACAACTTATAGATTTATTTAAGGTCGTCACAGGATTTGAAGAATTTCATTTGGGAAAAACAAGAATCAATAAGCAAAATTCGATACTACTGACCGCTCCGAAAAAAATATTTTCCCAGTTTGCTCCAGATAGCTGGACTTAACTCTAAACTGTATTAAATTTCCACAAAATTTTTGCGAACTACTAAACCGTGACAATTTTTCGACAAGGGCTTTGGTGTTCATTTTATTTATTTCTGTTGTTGTGTGTAGTTGACATGATTTTTACAATAAATTTCTGTTATTATACGAAATGCCCCCTCCCCCCCAGTGGCACCGCGGTATGTCTTCGGAATTATAACACCAGAAACTGGGTTTCGATACCAGTGATGAGCAGGGCACGGATAACCCCTTGTGTAGCTTTGTGCTTGATTACAAACAAACATGAGATGACACGATTTCAAATACACATCTGTTAAACATTCTTACGGATATTATGTTAATTTTGAATTTGATTACGAAGACCACTGAAGTTGTGGGCTCACATTACCTTCTGTTGTAATATATTGTGGTAAAAATCGCACAGATATTTAATATTCTCTTCCACCTGATGACTGAAGAAATATCTCATATCAACATTATTATAATTTAATCTAAGCGGATTACAGAGGGAAATGTAATTTGTTTGTTTGTTGAATTTCGCGCAAAACTACACGAGGGCTATCTGCGCTAGCCGTCCCTAATTCAGCAGTGTAAGACTATAGGGAGATGGCAGCTAGTCATCACCACCCACCCACCCCCAACTCTTGGGATACTCTTTTAACAACGGATAGTGGGATTGACCGTCACATTATAACGCCCCCCCCCCCGGGTGAAAGAGTGAGCATGTTTGGCGGGACGGGGATTCGAACCCACGACCCACAGATTCGAGTCGAGCGCCCTAACCATACTCGGCCAGTGCGGGGCGAGGAAGTGTAAGTTAACGAATAACCGTATTATTAATAATTATTTCTTTTATAGTAATAGAACAAGAAAACTAAC